GTATTAAGCAAAAGAACAGCGCTGGATGGCCGGGGAGCCTCTGCTCTGCCACAGCACACCTTCCCTCTTTGACCTTTTTGTTTTTATAGTCCCCCCTTTTTTTTTTTCCGGTTGACGTATTTTCTGTCGATGCACTCTGCACTGGTGCAATTGATTGCTGGGGGTCTTTTTTTCTGCCCTTGGTGGTCATAGGAATGAAGGCTCCTCGTCTTCCTTGCAGATTGTCCTTGGCCTAAAAGTTAACTTGTATATAATTACACAGTCTTCTATGCTAGTTGCATTCCCTACTCAGTTCAAATTCTCATCTCCTTTAATGCTCGTTTTGATGAACAGAGACCTTTTATTTATTACATATAGATAGTGGGGTTTCAGTATGCCCTCTTTAAATTGTCTCTCCCTCTCCTGCTGAGATGCTCAGGAGCTCTACTGAAGCCTGGTGGCAGTTGTAAGGCATGCTACTTATGTATTAAAGAGTAAATAGAGGGTAACAACCAGAATCTCCTGGTCCAACAAGAAAAACAACTTTACCTGCCTAATTTGTCTTGGTTAGGATCCAAATACTGTGCTATAGCAAAAGTACCATTGGGAAACACTTAGCTCTGCTCTGATGCCTTAGGTTTTAGCTTTTATATTTTTCAGATCCTGTATTACTTTAGTGTGTAGTTCTGAGCTTCATATTAGGGGATGGTGAGCTTTCTTCACAGGGCAGGGCAACAAAACAATTCCTTTCCTAGGCTGGGACCAAGAACAACTGATCCAAATTTTAGGCCAAAGAACATAAACAATGTGGACTGAAGAGAGAAAAACAAGAGGGATGGGACTTCATGGGCTAAAGCTGGAATTGGACAATTAACTCCAATATGCAAATGGACCAGAATTTATAAAAGAGAGAGACCTTGTGGCCAGTTGTCCATTTGGGTTCACCTTGGGCATAGCCCTGGCTGGGCTTTTGTACTGCCGAGGATGGATCCACTGAGGTCTTTTAAAAAATCCCCACTTTATTCTTTAGCTCCATCTAGCCTCTGGGCTAGGCCTGTTGCAGTGCCAGGTTTCTTCAGCCCGGCTGGCTCCCGACGCCGGCAGCAAGTGTGGGCTGCCCCCAGACAGCTGTCGAATCAGGGGTGGCTGTAGAGCACAGCTGCTCTACGCACGGGGGGACTGCATTGAGGGCAGGGACAATGAACACGGAGAGATCTCCTCTGTGTTTTCCAAAGGCGTTTATTCCCAGGAGGGTCAGGGACAGAAAGACACTGAACAAAGGCACATACCACCTGATACACAGGGGAGGTCTTAGGGGTGGGTACAATCTTTAACCAAGTGGGAGAAACCTGGGGAGGATCACAAGGTGGGGATACAATGTTTAAACCAATAGGGGAATTACAGGGGAGGAGAAAAACAAACCAATGGGGCCTCGAAGGATACAAAATTGGTAGGGAAGTTTCTAGAGAAAAGGGAAGGGATTGACAATGAATGGGAGGAGGAACAGGGAACAAAAGGGCAGATCTTTGGGGGAGATGGACGGCTAGGGCAAAACCAACAACACAGTGGGGAAAGGAACGCTCCGTTGGTAATACAATGTACTATAACAATACAAAATAGGGGAGGTTATAAAACTGACTACTAGGACCAGATTACAATCAAAACCATGCACCACAACATAGGTCAGCCTTCACAAGGCATCACCTGTACAGCCAATAAATTGGGTAATTTAGACTTGATTTAATCCAGTATGGAGCTTGGGTCCTGAGCTAACATTTTCAGAAGATGGAATTTTCTCCCAGGAGATTTTAGTCTTCTCAAAGCATGAAAGAAGAAAGTAATTTTTTTTTTCCTACAGCACCTTCCTTTTTGTACTTAAAAGAATTTTTTTTGCATGGTGAGAAATGTGTTTATATGTCTTAATCTTTTTCTCTGTTTTGCAGTACTTTCCACATAAGAATCTGAAGATGTTTCTGCCAGTCCAGCCTTTCTGAATCTCAGGCACTCCAGGGACTTTTGTCCTCTAATGAGGGCTTCTTAGAACTCAGCAAAAAGTACTGAAAGAATTCTGGTCCACAAAGAGACAGAAGCATCATGTGATCTACAGGATATTTGCAACAGACACATTTTTATCTTCTCTGCTGGCCAAGCACTCTGGAAAAGATGGTTGGTTGTTGGATCATGGTATTTCTTTTTTCCCCCCCCTTTTTTTTAACAGTCAGAATCAGAATATTATTGAACGTATTTCCACAGAGTTTTTATATTTGTGAATATTTAATACTGCTCTTAAAAGTGAAAAAAAACCCACAAAAACCCAAACCAAACCAACCAAACAAAGAAACAAAAAAACCACCAAAAAAATCCCCAAAACTGAGAGATTAGCTTTGGTGTGTTTTCCAAGAGTATTTGGAAGGAAGCATGGGCCTTAAATAATGAGATGCCTCTATCACTGTGTTGTACAGCTGGGATCTTGCGTGGAAAATACCTGAGGTGAAAGAATTGCAGTCAAGATCAAGCTCCCAGTGTTGAAGACAGCCACAGCCCAGGTTTGCCTTTCAGCCGCTAAAATGGCGACTGCTGGGTTTGGTGCTTACCTTCAACCGATACTTTATGGATTGTTGTGTCCTTATAAAACTTGAAATATTTGCCTTTTGTATATGATAACTGTGTACGTGATGAATTTCTTCCCAAGATAAATGTTTAAACAGTGTCCTTATTCTCGAAGGGGCTCCTGCATTTTACTCATTCTATGGGCTGATAATGTTCTTGAATGGAGGAACATGGTCATCTATAACTCATGAAGAAATTGAAGAAGCACAGAACTATTAAGAACATGAAAAGATATTTTCTTTTGAAACAAGCTATGCAATCTCTCCCATAAAATGCATTAATACAGTTCTATCTTTTTCCTTTCCAGCTGGAAATCAGCTAGATCTTTTTGTTGGGGTTTTTTTGTTGTTGTTTTGGGGTTTTAAAATTTATTTTTACTTCCAGTATTGTTTAGGTACTGGGACCCGAAGACAATCATATGTGTATTAATTACTGTTCTAACAGTCAATAGAAGGGCTCTGTCACTTACATGGCTTCTGTATCAAGGTCATCACAATTAAAACTTTTGAAGCATTCTGTTGTGCTTTGAGAATTTTTAGGCTGACCACATACTAATTTCTTTTCTGATCGTTATTCCAATTACAAAAAGTTAAATCTTTCAAAGGATGAAATGTGTTACATAGAAAACTGTTAAAGTGGAGAACCTAACCTTTATAATTTCTGTAGCGATGGTGATGCCTATCTACCTCGGAAACTCTTCTGTGTGGTGGGCTTGCAGGGTAGCTTGCTGTTCAGATTTACACACTATGAATAAAGAAGAAATATTTCTCTAGCAGTATGTGTGTACATTAAAAGTTTCAATGGAAATTTTGGATATTCAAGGTATACAGGACAGACATGTCTAAGACTGCACAGTGAAAATGACAGTAGTAACATTAATTTGTAATAAATCTCTTAGACCTATCATGTTCATTAATGTTTATAGTATTTTAATGCTTCCTCCTACTGATTACTGTTTAGATAAAGAAATTAAACTTGAATTCCCTTACCCAAGTTAAAATTAACAGAAATCAATCTTCATATTCAGTTCTGATTGGGTAAAAAGAGATTCAAGCATGTTTTTCATTTTGAGCAGATTAAGTTAGATGTATTGGCTGAATCAAAATATTTGCAAGACATTGGCATTAAGAGAGATTATGTTAAAATTACTTCCTATTAATTGAAGTATCAGCCTAATTTTTAAAAAATTTATTTCAAGACAGACATTTAATCTTGGAAGTCTTGTGAGGTGTGTAGGAATATATGATTAGGATGTATTTGTAAAATACCAGGTTGCAAGATTTGGGATCACGTTTTCCGGACAAAAAGGATCTGGTGCTGATGACATAGGTCCTTTTGGCATCAACATTCTTCTCTGTGTTATGATTGTTATTAGCTAAAATTCCTGTTTTCCTGGCACTGTGTGTCATTCTTGGGTTATGTCATACTCCCCTCTTAAAGAACAAGGGGCCTTGGAAGTGCTCAGTGTGTTGTTTCCCTGGGTCCTCCCTGACCTAAATGTCACAAAGTCCTTTAGGAGACACATGAGCTTGCAGCCAGATGTTTGACCTTGGAGTCATCCACCTGAGCTGAGAAACAAAGAGAAAAAGAAATTAGGAGCATATTGTGGAGAAATATTCCTGTTCATAGAGACGTGTTCTTGCAAAATACTGCAGATACAAATGTGTGTAGCTGTTTTAACTGCCTTTAATTTTTTTACTTACATTCATGTCCTGTAAAAAAAACGGAAGCAACATCATGTGTCCCTGGCGTTTGAGAGAGATCTGTACACTCAATCCTTCAGCACTGCCTAGTGGTGGGTGAGTATTTCCAGCACCTGATGTCAAAGGTGAGGGATAGATTTCTGAAGAGCTTTGTATTTGTGCTTTCACAGTTGTCTATAGCTGGATGTCTTGCAACTGGCAGTTTTCTTACAGCAAGATTGTTGAGTGAGTAGTTCAGTGGGATGCAAATTTCATCCTGTCACATGGTACCAAACCTGCTGGACTTTGGCAGTTGTATAACTGGCACAATCTAGCAGATTCTCTAGCAAGTGTTTCTTCAACCAGCCTCACTCTAAAAGAACTATCAGGCCATGTGGAAAGAAACCAAAACAGTAAAAGAGGTTTAGATTGAAACAGTTTTGGATTTGGCCAAAAAACAAGAGGACATGAATATTGAATTGCAGAAAAGTGTTAAATATAAACAGACATTACTATATTTCTTCAAAAATGGACAAAGAAAAATGAAAACCATTACCTAAAGCCTGTATCAAAACAGCTGTGTGTGTGATCTTTCATTTATATACAGTTAAAACATCCTGGGGACAAAAAGAGAGTTGTGAAAGTTAATAAAACAGTATCAAAAAAGTAAGAAATAACTTGGTTATTTTAATTGATTGTTGTTTTAAGGAAATACTGTAAGCCAAGATTTGCAACAGTCTGCAGGCTAAAATCTGATTTGCTTTACTTCCACATTAATCTCCAGTAACTGCTGACTTCAGTGGAATTAACTCGTGTCTGTAATTGGATCTGTGTTGGGGGAAAGTACTTGAAGTCTTGCTCCAGTTCTTTGTGCCCTCTCATGCCCTTTTAATGTAATCTTAATATACTGAATGGTCTTTTCTTAACCAATAACCACACACTCTTCTTTGTCAACAGGCTCACTGTTGGAATCTCTTGCAATTTCTTGCAGTCACAGAGGAACAGTCTCCTTTCCTTTTCTCCCTAGGACTAATTTTTATCTCCTTGTGCATGCTAGAGGCACTTACGATGAAACCTCACAAGGTGGCACCACACCACCGTAGCAAGTCATAACTTCATAACTTCATTTAACAGTTTAAATGTCCCCGAAATAAAGGATACTCTATAGAATCTACGATGCCACAAACAAAAATATGAAACTGTGATTAATTACTGATTTTAAAACTGTACATAATTACAGAGAAAGTTTTGTGTTTCTCAATAGCATATCAATAAAAATACGTTTTAATAAAGTCCTTAAAAATTGAAATGTATGTTAAAAATGAAAAAGGGATTTTCTTGCTGGAACTGTAAAAAACACATATTATAGACACTTAGGTTAAGATTATATTCTAAAATAACAGAATATAAAGTTGAGTTTTTTTGTGGATGGGAAATACTATGTTTGTGAGCTCAGAATCCCCAGTAAATCAATTTGAGCTGAAATAACAGCAAGATTAAGAAGAGTTTATAATATTATTGCCCAATACACCTTGTCTGGGACAGACAATGGAGTGAAATTTGATGAGGAAGACATTAAAGATAATAAAATTATAATTGTTTATGTCTTTAGGAAGATGTGTGTCTGAGACAAAAGTACAGAACACATGTTCTCCTCTTTTGTCTGTATAATTTTGCAGTTTTGTGTATCTTGTAGAGATGTTAGTGACACTGAGTGACTATCACATTCTCTTTCATGGGGAAAAAGAGGAGACTGTTCTTGATAGAATTCAAAGAGCATCAACATTTCAGATAACAGTGCCTTTATTTAACTCTAAATTCTGCCATCCTTGTCTGTAAGATATTTTCAAATCTGAACTTCATGAGAAATTTCCCTCTGCCCTTTCCCTTTGACTGCCTCATGTTGGCAAGAGCAGTGAGGAGCCCAGGTGTGCCAGCCCTGGGTGCTGTGCAGTTGTCATGTAGATGCGTCCTTCCCTCTGCTCTTTCCCAGTCAGGAGCTGCTCAGAGCCAGAAGTTTTCATGCACGAAGCCCTGACTGCGTTGTGCCATTCTGCAGGTACAGGCTCCATGGCTGTTGGGTGCATGCTCACAAGCCTTGCAGCACAAGGCACCATTTGTACCCTGCTCTCCAGTTCTTGCACAGGCAGCTTGGGGCCAGATGTGCCTGCAAATGTAGGGCAGAGTGGTTTAACTCTGCTGAAGAGGGTTTTGGGCACCAGGCCAGCCTCCTCTTTTTCTAACTGTAACTTTTCTCCACTGAAGTCAGTGGATGTGGCAGCCTGCCAGGAGCAGGCAACTGGTTGCTGTGGGCTTAACCACAGCTTGTGCAGTTCAATAGGGATCAAGCTTGCCTTGTGCTCTGCACACTGACAAGCTCTGGGAATTGGTAGCTGCTGGTTGAAGGGGTGGTAATTGAAGACTTTGGTCTGGTCCGTCATGTAGAGCTGAGCAAGCAGGTACAAGGTGGCTCTGTTTACTTGATGGAAATGGTTTATACTTTAGTCTGGGAAAGTATTCATATGACCAGAAGCCGGATCCAGCTTTTTCATAGGTCTCTCATCCCCTTGGTTATGAGTGTTATGGTTATGGGCTGTTTCTCACATCACCCTGGAGGCAGCACTTCACAGATAGTGAATTCATGTGGATCATTAGTAACCTTTTATTAGCAATCTAATATTCAGGGTTACTTTAATGGCACTTAGAAATAAATCAATGTTCACCACATTTCCCCCCATCCCAGCTGGAAGGAAATGATCTCTTACTTAGACATCTGCTTATTTTATTAGAGGATCACAGAAGATGCTGAGTTGACCTGTCAGGATCATTAAGTCCTACTCCTGGCCCTGCACAGGACACCCCAAGAGTCACTCCAGGTGCCTGAGAGTATGATCCAAACCCTTCAACTTTGTCTGGTTTGGGTGCTGTGACCACTGTCACTGCGGACTAGTCAGCCCTGAGAGGAAAAAGAATATTGGTATTTTAACCAAAATGGTATTTTGGGTTTTCTGAAAATGATTATGCTTTTTTTTTTTTCTTTGTACAGATAAAAAGTTCTGCATACAAAAAGCTGTAGATTCAGAGAGAATTCCCTCTAGAAGTTTGAAACTGAAAGACTGTTACCATTCTGCCTAAATAAATAAGTTAATTGATGTATATGTTCACAGAAATAAATTAAATTCCAGGAAATTCAGTGAGGCCTTTCATATGTTTAAAAATTTTTGTCTCTTGTATGGCCATTTTAATGACTATTGATTTTCTAATGTTAGAACCAAATAAGGAAGTATATAAAAATTCTCTATTGTAATTTCATGCATCGTCATAATGACAGTAGCATTAGAATTTGCATTCACAAATTCCTTTTATTACACACCTTTAAAATTTGGTTTTCTGCAGAATTTACTTGCAAATATTCCTAGTGAAATGACTTAGTCCCTTGTGACTAGTTCTGAGTATTTTTTTCATTTCCAGTTACCTTCTCTCACTGAAAAAGCAGAGGGAATAATTGATATCCAGAAACATTAATGTGTTTTGAGGTATTTTCATTCCAAGAAACTTGCCAAGTTAAACAGTGGGTTCTTAATGCCTGATTGGCTTAGAGGAGGTTTTTTTCC